CAGAAATTTTTTTTTTTATAATTATTTTTTGTATGTCTAGAATGTACGCGACTATGTACACCTAACCGCTTGCCTGAGTAGACGGAGACAAGAAAAGTAAATTAAAACATTAATTTCTGTACTTAAATTCAAACTTCTAATTTTTGTTAATGCATATACATACATGCATGTGTACATATGTATGTATGTACATATGTATATTTTAAAGAATATTAAATATTAATATTTTAAAACAGGGACCGAGAACAAAATGTATGATCGAAACTAAATGTCATTGTCGTAGTTTTGTTCCCAAGAACGCGTCAAAACCAAAACCAAAATGAGAACAAAAATGACGAGAACGTTCTCATTGGGAATTATATAAAAACTAAACCCTGTGGAACTGTGGAATAGTAATGTTAATCAAAAACGAACTGAAAGATAATAATGTATGCTAATAAAGTTAACGAAAGACTTCAGACACGAACTTTTTTTTTTTTTCTTTTTTTTTCTGGAAGTTGAAATGGTCCAGCTTTCCTCTGGCTTAGAAGTAACATCCGTGGATCTCACTGAAATAACTTTTCCTCCGAACACGAAAGACTCTTCTCTACGGCAGGAATTATTGTAACGGCGAAAAGATCGGGTTTGGCCCCCGATTCGGTTAACTTGCTAGTCTTCTTAGATCAAAATAAAAACTTGTTGGAATGATAATGTAATTATTTTATATACATAATTATTAAAACTTGTTATGATAGTAACAACAAAAAAAGATCGTATTATCACTGAGTCAATCTGATGATTTCTTCCCTGACAAATGGAATTTGAGGTCTTGCTGAGTGGCATAGTTGGTGACATACCAAGGAGCATTAACAATACTTTTTGGGCCTTATTTTGATACCGCTGTAGTATTTCTGTTTGAGTTACTCGCAGTACCCCATAGTTGCATAGCGTATGTCCAAACCGGCTTCAGCATAACTTTGTGCAGAAGGATTTTGTTTTCTAAACTCAGCTCAGATTTTGCAGCAAGCAGCCAGTACATTCTTAATGTTTTTAATGCAAGTTGACTTTTTTCGCTTTAATATGCAATTTCCACGAAAACCTGAGATCAAGATGGATTCCCAAATAATTGACTTGATTGATAAATAAGGTTGCAAACGGTCAAATGAAAATGCGTCATGATAGGAAGGGTCTCCACACAAAGAGTTATGCCTATGATATCATTAATAGTACATACATACATGGCGTATGAGTAACATTCTTACCTAGTCATATTTTATAAAAAACGAAATTATCTGTTTTTATTATTATTTTTTTAGCTCCCTACAGTTTAATACTTCTACAATCGTAAAATTATTGCTACTACCTTTAGATACGAATATATATTATAATATTTCCCCATATGGTATGGAAGATTCTTATAGATGTTCCCTATCCCTATGTAAGTAATAATGTGGGTCCAACGGACCCGGCCTGGTAGATCCCGCTACATTTACAATAGCAGTACCAACTATTTAAAAAAATAACATGATCAAAACAAAAAAGTATAGACTACATGAAAATAAGCAAAGTAAAGGATTTACGGAAATCAAAAGCTGATAATGGGAACACAATAACATCTCATTTTGGTCGATTGGATCCCGCCGGTAGACAAAGGGTTAACTTATTTTATTGGTTGATGTCACCAGATTTTTGTTTTAGTTAATGGTGCGTCCAGTGCACTAGAGGTGGAGAAAACATCGTGCCACTATCGATGCATCGATGTTTTTGCATTTTTTCTAAACATCGATGGTTGATGGCCACTATCGATGTTTCTTTTGTACACCTCTGCGCATGTAAAATGAAATAATACAAGTTTCTAGTTTATAACCTTTCGAAACAAAAATTAAAATATTTTTTAAGACTTTTAATAAAAAATCTTTTATCTCTTTTTAATATAATAATAATAATAATAATAATAATAATAATAATAATAATAATAATAATAATAATAATAATAATAATAATAATAGATTGGCGTTTAAACATATGTAAGTGTTTGGCCGAGCTTCTCCTGAGATTTGTGGCGTGCGCTTTGATGTTGTCACACAAAGTGGAGGGACCTACAGTTTTACACCGACTCCGAACGGTGATTGTATTTTGAGGAGAAGCTGTTTTTCATGGCAGAAATACACTCGGAGATTTGCCAAACCTTTTTTCTATATTTCTTTGCGATGTTGCTATGACGAGGGTTTGAACCAAGGCACTGCAGAGTGGAAGCACGCACTGCTGACCACTACACCACAGCGCACAGTGGGCGATTTGCCTTCTCTAGCGGCGTTTAATTAATAACTTTCAAAGTAAATAAAATATGATGTATTGTGGAACGATTTTCCGTCATCCCTTGTCAAATTTGGTTTGGAGAAAAACCGGTTTCGGCGTTGTGCCATCTTCAGTGTCATTTTTCGTTCGTCGATCATATTTCCTTCACAGTTGTTGAATTTTTGTAAATTTGTAAATAGCTGTCATATGAGTGTTGTTTTTGTTTTCAGTCCGACTTTCAAAACTTTGTGGGTGCGCTCGAATGATCCTATCAACAATATGGTCCACTATGCTTTGTAATGGTACCTCAATTTTTGAAAATATAATATCAATTTCGAAATCAGTGATGACAAAAATCTCTGAATACCAAGCTTCATAACAATCTACACATTTTTGAGGAAATCGTCCGCCATACTGGATCAGCCATTTTGATTTTTTTAGATTTAATATCAATTTCGAAACCAGTGACGTCGAAAATCTCTGGATACCAAGCTTTATAACTATCTATACATTTTTTAAGATATCTTCCGCCATATTGTATCTGCTGTTTTGAATTTTGGAAATTTGATTTAATATTCGAATGCAGTGACGACGAAAATCCTTAATTGCCAAATTTCATTGAAACCTGTCAAATACATATCGTCGCTGCGCCAACAAAAACGGTTATGTGATTTTTGTAAATTTTTTTATTGCATAATTTATTAACACTAGTTGCGTTTGTTTACCCATTTCCAGTAATATCCACTAAAAGTTTTTACGAATCTTCATGTTTGGCATTTTCGTACGCAAAAACTTACAAAGCAGGGGAAATTGAGAGAGCGAAAAATTACAGTTGCAGTTCCAAGTTTTTACTGGATACATTTTTACTTGTAAGAATTTGCCAGTACGAAAAATAGCTGATCGCATGTTGCTGGATGAAATTTAAACTAATAAGGAAACTGTTTGTGGGTTTTTATTGTTGAATTTCACAAAATAAACCTATTTAAATATAAAATATATTGTTTTATTAGGAATTTGCTGCGAATAAACAACCAATTTATCAGCTGTTCATGAAACTCCCAAATTATTACTGGAATAGCGCTCGCGTACTTTTTGGCAAATTTTTTCTATAAGAGCGAATTCTTAGAAATAAAGTTACTGGAGAGTTGCTGGCAAGTTACTGGATAATTTATAAACAAACACAACTACTATCTATTGCTCACATTACTGCTTTTGCCGAACTGACTGAGTTTGAGCATGATGCAAATAAATTGGACAATGCCGCAAAGACGCGGCTACTTCTTAGTAGTAATGGAAAACTATCGATGGGGCTATCAATAGTATCGATGGTTTCATTTTGTCGCCACTATCGAATTTTTCTAAACACTATCGATAGTTTTATGTTGTTCACATTGTTGGAATTGGACTACATATAAAAGATGCACATGCCTACATATATATGTATGTTGTGAACTCCTTTGTTTGTAAATATGTTCTTCATGGTTTTTGTTATAAAATGTGTTATTGAAATACATACACGATCTCATTTTGTTTTTTACAAGTTATTTTTGTGTACACAAATAATCTTTATGGCTTTTGTAGTTACCAAATGGGTTATTTAAGAATAAGATTTTTTCCTGGCTGTTGTTGTCTTATATAGTAAAAGAAGAAACGAAGAAATTTATAGGCGATAGAATCTGTCATATAACTTGCCAAATTTTTTAGGACCATAAAAAACGGATTCAAATTTGCATATTTACAAAATGTTTTGCCCAGTTTTACCAATCAATTTTAAATTTGTCGGGCCGTTAAAATTTTAAATTACACATTTTTTTAGGAGATTGTGCTATTTTAAATTTTAAGTTTGATACATTTTGAAATTGGTTGGTAAAACCGGGCATTAGTGTTATATCTCAACATATGTAAGAAAGCTATCGATAGTATCGAATATTTTGCACTATCACTATCGAAACAATCGAATGTATACACTATCGATAGTTTTCCAACACTACTTCTTAGGAAAATGAACACCTTAGTGCATCACAAATACGTCAATTACATACTTCCAAAACATCCACGGGACAAAACTTTTGCCGAAACGGTGTCACTGCTTAAGCAACTTTTCGGGATGCAGGCATCACAATTCAACATGCGATACAATTGCTTGCAGATCAACAAAGATCCGAATGTAGATTTCATTACATACGCAGGCGTTGTAAATAAACAATGTGAGCTTTTCTATTTAAACAATCTAGCAATAGATCAATTCAAGTGCTTAATTTTTTTATGGGTCTCAAATCCCCATCGGTTTTTGAAATTCGCACAAAGATGCTAAACAAGTTAGATGGCGAAAATACAACTATCACACTGGACTCATTGTCAAGGGAATGCCAACGAATGCTGAACCTCAAAGCTGATACTGCACTCATCGAAAATCAACAGAGCGTGCCCGTCAGCAAGGTCAAAGCAAATACAAAGCAGAAAAAGGAGAGGAAAGTACCAAAAACTCCATGCTGGAATTGCGTTGGATTTTCACTATGCACGTTTCTGTCCCTACAAAAGCCATAAATGTGGCGATTGTTCAAAAACCGGGCATAAAGAGGGCTATTGCACACGCAATAGTAACAACAAAATATATACGACAAATGGGACACAATAACAAAACAAAACAAGCGTCACGCAGAAAAAACGCAAACAACATCACAAACAACTCGTAGAGTCAAACGGAATTTTTGTGACAAACCAAGTACAATGCCAGCGCAAATACATCAATGTTCGTATCAATGGCGTACCCATTCGACTTCAGTTCGACACGGGGTCTGATATTACAATTATATCAAAGCATACGTTCGACACTTTCAACATTGAGGAAACAGAGGCAGTCGACCGATCAGCACGTAGTGCAACAGGCAAGCTGCCCCTCACTTCCCAATTCACATGCTCAGTTAGCTTTCAAGGAGAAGAAAAATCGCTTACTTGTCGTGTGTCATCCGGATCCGATCTCAACGTTAAGGGACTTGATTGGATGGATGCTTTTAATTTAAAGGATCAGCCAATAAATTCAGTCTGCAATCAAGTACAGAATTTTCAGGGGAGTGTTGATAAATCAGCAATTAAAACTTGCAGTGCTCAATTGAAGTTATCTTTTCCAGATGTGTTCGATGGCAAGATGGGACTCTGCAACACGACGAAGGCCGTATTGCAGACGAAGCCCAATGTTCAGCCAGTTTTCAGACCAAAAAGTCCAGTTGCTTACGCCATGCAACAGCTCGTTGAAACGGAATTACAACGTCTACAGGATTGCGAGATCATATCACCTGTTACTTACTCGGATTGGGCAGCACCCATTGTTGTCATAAAAAAAGCAACCGGCGGCATACGACTGAGCTCAGATTTTTCAACTGGACTGAACGAGCGTCTCGAATCACATCAATATCCCTTGCCTTTACCTGAAGACATATTTTCGAAATTGGCAAATTCAAAATACTTCAGCCATTTTCATTTATCGGATGCTTTTTTACAAATCGAAGTAGATGACGCTTCAAAGCACTTACTTACAATAAACACACATATCGGATTGTTCCGGTACAACCGAAAGCTATTTGGCGTTAAAACATTTCCGGCCATATTCCAACAGATCATGGACCAGATACTTTTAGACATACCAAGGGTAGCAGCCTATATTGACGACATTTTTGTATCCGGCAATAACCAAATTGAGCATAAATATTAGAAATCTTCACACGGTACTAAAAAGAATAAAAGAATACGGATTTAAGTTGAAATATGAGAAGTGCAAATTTTACAAAACATCCGTAACCGCAGAACTCCACAGGCAAACACCGATGGCCTAACAACTGTCATTTTGACGAGCAATATGATTGCAAGTGTTTGTGTGTAGACACTTTGATGTCTTGAAATAAGCATTTGCCGCATGACGCCACCAGAAAACATTCTCTCAATTTCGGTGTTTAAAGCCATTTAAGTCTTTAAAAAACTTGCTGAGTAATTTTCTAAAACGTAATCATAAATAATCCAATAGGGGACATATCAAAATTTCATCGATGTTACCACCAGCACGCTTTCTTTCAAATGAAAATATGGCTGTCGAACTATCAAATTGCCTGCAATAGATGTCCAACAATAAGCGCTGACATATATTGCAGCCCATAAGAAATAGGCGGTCTCCATTGGAAATATATTTTGTGACATGGTTACCACGACATCAGTGTTTTCCTGTGGAGACAGGGCCTAAGCTACCTTGGCTATGTCATAAATCAGCATGGCCTTAAGCCAAATCCCGAACGTATACAAGCCATCACCAATATGCCGCAGCCGACGATGTCACGGAACTGCGATCGTTTCTCGGCAAGTTTGTTAGTAATACGCGACAACATAGAGGTCCGTGAGATGAACTTTTAAAATCCAACGTTTCATGGACATGGACAGCGAAGCACCAGCGATCGTTTCAAAATTGAAAGGACATTCTTTTAACGGACCTTACCTTGGCACATTATGATCCGCAGCTCCAAATCATAGCAGCGGCTGATGCATCCGGATACGGTCTTGGCGCATGTATTTTACACGAATACCCTGATGGCACCGTAAAAGCCGTTTGCCACGCTGCGCGATCATTGACACCCGCTGAGCAAGTGTATAGTCAAGTTGAAAAAGAAGCTTTAGCTCTCGTATTTGCGACTAAGAAGTTTCACAAAATGATATACGGACGGCGATTCAAGCTTCACACTTACCACAAACCTTTATTAGCAATTTTCGGGCGCAAAAATGGTATCGCAGTACACCAAGCCAATCGACTCCAGAGATGGCGTTCCCACGACAGTCGGGTCTACGTAACCGGAAGGCCAAGGACTGTCACTCCAGCAACACTCCCCAAAAAGTCTTTGGGGAATTTGTATGCTGCTACAACAACAACAACAACTCCAGAGATGGGCACTTCAACTTCTTGCGTACGATTTCGAAATTAATTTCGTTAGCACGAATAGTTTTGGATACGCAGATGTATTGTCACGCTTAACAAATAGAGCAAATATCGCACCTGAAGATTTCGTCATTGCGTCAATAAAAACAGAAAATGAAGCCAATGCTGCCGTCAGAGACACCATAAAATCTCTGCCAGTAACATTCAAAATGATACAGCACAAGACATCTAAAGATAAGCTTTTATCCATCGTGTTAAAGTATATTAAAGATGGATGGCCTCCAAAAATGTTTTTTAATAGGAAAGACAATTTAATGTATGTTGATGAATGCATTATGTACGGCGATAGACTTGTCATTCCGCGAATTTTCTGTACACGCGTACTAAAGAAGCTTCATCGTGGTCACACAGGCATTGAGGATCCGAAAGCTATCGCACGAAGCTACGTCTATTATCCAAGTATCGACAGCGACATAAAGATTATACATAGTTAACAGTTGCGACCACTGTGCAGTTGCTGCAAAAATGCCTGAAAAAACACCTCTTCAACCGTAGCCTACTCCAGCAAAAGTTTGGGATCGAGTTCATATAGATTATGCCGGCCCAATCAAGGGTTATTACTTTTTACTAGTAATTGACACATTTTCTAAGTGGCCGGAAATCGTTGAAACGAAATCAATTTCTTCAAAACAAACAGTGAAAATGTTGAGCGAATTATTTTCTCGTTTCGGACTTCCTACAACGCTTGTGTCGGACAACGGTACGCAGTTTAAAAGCGCATTTTTTGAAGACTTTATGCGTAAAACCTCCATTGAGAATAAATGCACGAGCCCATATCATCCAATGTCAAATGGCCAGGCTGAAAGATTTGTGGACACTTTCTAAAGAGCTCTCAAAAGACGGAAGAAGAAGGAACGGTTACAGAAAATATGCACACATTTCTATAACTATATCGTTCAACAGCAAATCCAAATACTCCCGATCATAAATCTCCAGCAGAGATAATATTTGGAAGGCCAATGCGTACAACATTAGATCAGCTAAAACCGTTGACAAAAGCGAGAAACCAATGTCAGTAGCCATAGCAAAGATGAAGCAGCAATTCGACATAAAGCACGGTGGCTGCCAGAGAATTCCAAAATTTGGATAAGGTATATGTCAGAACTTCAGATGGTGTCTATCACTTCAAATGGTCTCTTGGAGAAATCATCGAGCAGAGAGGTTGTCATGTACAATATGAGACTTTTAAATGGCAGAATTATTAGAGCATAGGTTAATCAACTTCGACGACGCACCACCACAGCAAAGGGCTACCAGAAGCCGTGGGCTTCAGCACTAGAAATTTTTGAGCCGTCAAAAGCCACAGGCTCTCGTGTCACCCAAAATCCGAACGTGGATACAGGTGAAAATCCAAGGGTAGATGGAAGTGCCATCGGAACTGATCAGTTGGAGACACCACTGCTACCACGTCGCTCAAACCGCAACCTAGGGCATCTTAATCAAAAGGGAAGACTAGCCTATAACCGAATACTTGAACTCGAAACATATTAAAACCGCATACTTCACTTAAACTTAGTACTAACCCTTATAACAGAAAATATCGATAATCGATACTGCCAAAGCAGCTGAGAGCCTGGGGACATCGGAATGGGAAAGAGAGGATAAAAAGAATTGAGACTGTTCACCCGGACCGGTTTCAGCGAGAACAAAAATTAATCATAAGTTTTCTGTAATTACTTTTCTTTATTTTTGAATAAATATTTTGTTATAAAGAAACATAACAATTAAAAAATAACTTATCAAAAAATACTTTCGTGAAAATTTATTTGTGATAGGCTTGTCTGATCTCTTTTATTTAGTGTAAATAAACCGAGGTTATTTCACTTACGGCCCAACGTTTCGCTAGTCTTCTTAGCATCTTCAGGGGCGTGTTTATTTAATTATCTGTTACAAAAAATATAAATACATGTATGATATTAAATAAAGGAACAAATAAACACATATTCATAATTACATATAAAAATCACGGTAGAACAACTAAGATATTAAACACAAAAGTACTCACAAACAATTCGTCATTAAAATAACTAAATCTACTAAAATCGATACCATCTTCTGTGGTAGTTTTGTCTAAACTAAAACTAATTTTGAATTTTATAAGCATAACAAGTAGGCGGTAGAAATGTCATCGGTGTCTTCTTTTTTGTTTATTGTGTTTTCCCTTTTTTGCAAAATCCTTAAGCTTTCTAATGTGTATCTGGTTTTTTCTCGTTTTTCTATGTCGATTATTTTGGTGTTTGCTAAATCTGCTGGGTGCCCAGTAGTTCGCATATGTTGTGAAAGCGCTGTACTGTTTTTTTGTTTCTTTAAATCTGCCTCAAGTTCGTTTAAGCGCGTGCCTAGGGCTCGCTTAGTTGTTCCTATATACACCTTCCCGCATTCTTCGTTCTTCTTTCCCTTACATTTAATTCCACAAACTACGTTGCTTTGTTGTTGAGCATCTATTGGGCATTTCGTTTTTGTAAAGACAGTCGATAATGTGCAATTAGATTTATATGCAAGTGTAATGTTTTGTTGTTGTGCAAAATCGCGGCCGCAGTTTTCGGTCAGCTTCGGAATGTATGTGACACTGTGGTATCGCTTTGCTGTGTTTATTGCATCTGTGCTTGAAGCTATATTTTTGTGATTGCTCTTTTGCATTATTGTTTGTTTTATTAAGTTGTGTGTTAAATGTTCAGGATAGTTGTTGCTTTTTAGGATCTTCTTTATTTTTTCAATGTTCGTCTCAGGGAATTGTTTGTTGCTTATTGTTAATATTTTTTGTATGAGGTTTTTTGCGCTATTTATTTTGTATTTTGTTGGTTGCGAAGAGAAGAAGTTAATCAGGCGACCAGAAGATGTAGGCTTGCAATACCAGTCCAGAAGAAGGTGATTTCCGCTTCTATGTATACGCGCATCTAGAAAAGGGATACTTGAGTTTTCTTCCATTTCCATGGTGAATTGAAGTTTGTTATGGTATTTGTTTAGATGTTCGAGGATAATATTAGCGTCGTTTCTTTTGACAATTGCGAAGATGTCATCTACGTATTTAGTTATAAATTTAAATTCGATGTTAAGATTTTTAAGCTCTGAAATGGTGTTTTCGAGTAAATCGTCCATCACGATATCAGCAATTATTGGCGAAAGAGGGTTGCCCATTGGCATTCCAAAGGTTTGCGTGTATACCTTATTATTGAACATGAAATAATTGTTGTCTTTGAGACAAAAGTCCAGAATATTATGAAATTTGTTTTTTGGAATGTTCGTCACCATTTGTAGTTTCTCCCAATTTTTCATTATAATTCTCACAGCTTAAGTTGTAGGTATATTAGTAAACAAAGAGACGACATCAAATGACACTAAAACGTCTTCTTTACACACATATATATTCGTCAGTTTTTCTTTTAGGTTAAAAGTGTTTTTTATGTTATAATTTTCGCTGGTTAAGGATTTAAGGATTTCCCCAACATATTTTGACAAATTGTAACATGAGACTTTAACGGACGACGCAATTGGACGTAAAGGAGCTTCAGGTTTGTGGATTTTTGGTAACCCATACAATCTTGGTGCTGTTGCTGCGGTGCTAGCGAGTTGTTGCTTTTCTTTTATGTTTATATATTTGCTTTTGTAAAGAGCATCCACTATGTTATTGTTTTTCCTTTGTAGAGCGTTTGTTGAGTCGGTTCTTATGCTTTTGTATGTATTCTTGTCTCCTAGTAGGTCGGTAATTTTCTCTACGTATTCTGTTTTGGGCA